ACAGGTTACAGGGTCAATACCCCGGCGCCAGCCTCGTTGGACGGTCTGGTTATGCGCTCAGCATAACTTCGCAGGCCTCAAGCTCCCCCCCGGGTCACAGAGCACAAGCTCCAGCACCGGCCTGAGTCGTCCCAGCACCGTCCTTCTAACCTACTTACCTTGACCGACAACCCTCCTCTGTTGAGAACCCCATTCTAACTTCCATCCCCAATCCCGACTTCTCTCCCCTAATTTTTAGGACGGAAATTCCTTCAGAGGCCTAATTTTGGAAAATGGTAATAAAAAATGAATTGCTGGAATTCTATCTGAAACATCTTTTAGAATTTTAGAATTAAAAAGGAGCGACAAATCTGGGATTTAGAATTAGAATTATTCCAAATGAAAAATGATTCGAGAGCATAGATTTTAGGAATGGAAATTGAAACCAAATGAGGAAATCATCTGTGGTCTTTTGGGAAATGGAATTTAGAGATAAGAATATGTCTAAATTGGACTAATGAATATCAAAAATCCAGAAGGTAATTCTGATCGCGGTTGTGATTGTGATCGTGATAAGAAATGCTTATTGAAAATAATGGCTATATGACAAGAAACATACCCATCAATGAATAGACATGAATACAGATCCACCGAAACTTACGAAAGATCACTTCAAGCAATATCACTCACCAAGGAAGCGGTCAACGAAAATCTGTTGAACATAAATTACACACATACACACTAATATTAATATTTTGGAGTTCGTTGGCAATGATTGTTGTCAGGGTTTGAACCCACACATAGCAACTCTCTGACCTGATAACCACTCAGGTCGACTGGTTCCCTGTGTGTTTTTAGGGACTGTTTTTTTCTTAAGCGTATACGACGTCAGACAACTGGCAGGTCAGGATGTGCCTATGTGTCCAAACCTTTTTTTTTTTTTTTTTTTTTAATAAAATGCTCCAATCTATTCGTGGGGAGCAGCACATGCAAGGAACCGGGCCCAACGTCCCTTATAATTGGAATGCATTGATGATTGATGAAAATTTGGGATGATCCAGGAATACTTCAGGATGATTGAGATAATAAGTTAGAGATTGATGTTTACTGCTCAAAATGCTTATCTACTTAAATCTCACATACTACCCTAACCCTAATCTCAGATATCCATACCAACCAGCCAGTCTCTATCGAGTCAATACTGTATACCAATCAAGCCTCTACTCGGTTTCACACCCCACTCTAGCTAGGTTACAAGGCAGTGCCACCCACCCCAGCTCCGACCTTCGTCGGCCAAATTGTAGTCTTTGGTCAAGTATTGTAATTTTCTTCCACCCTCAGCAATCCACAGATCTCTATCCAGGCCTCAAGCTCCTATAAAGGTTACAAGGCGATTCCCCAGTGCCGGCCAGCGTCGTTCTGATTTCTACTCTACCTGGGCAAGAACACGATAAAAACTCAATTAGGAGATCAGCCAGACTAGAATGTAACCTAAGAATTCTGATCTGATAACAGTGGGATCCTAAGCAAACAACCAATCTGATGATGATAATGATGATGATAATGATAATGATGATGATGATGATACTTGATGTTGATTGACCCTCCCCTATCCACCCCTCCTCTTTTCCCTTCTTACCACCCCTCCTCTCCCTTGCTGCCTCCGCTAATCAGAACCACTCTGTCGTTGAGCGGTTCCTCACAGCCCCAACAATAGGAGAGCCTCCCTCTACCCTACTCCCCTCAAAGAAGGTTGTTCCCCCAGAAAAGCCTACCTCAAGCTATCTCTGTCCTACTCTGCCACCGCTAGTAGATGATGTTCCACCTTCCATCTCTCCCAGCCCTAGAGTTAGACAGTCCCCCTTGTCAACCCTTATTCCCTATATAGGGAAACATTTCCTACCTTATGTTTGCCCTGCAAAAAAGAGTTTTCCCCACTTAATCCACCATACCCTCCACGTCAGCAACCTTGTGGGGACGATTTTTACAACCTGAAGTATAGAAAAAAACAGGGAAATAAGAATTGAGAGGGTGATGATGATTACGAATCTATGATGATGATGATAATAATTATGGTTGGTGAAGCTGATGAGAATGAAAATTTTT